AAATCCTCCTGCTTCCAGGGCAACCCAATGGCTGGTTTGCAGCAGAAGCAGCTCCTCTTCTGCGCTGGCCTTGCGAAACTCCTCACCATTAATTCCGAGGGGAGTCATCCGCTTCTGAAGCATCAGATACAGCCCTCTGGCAGCGTCAGAAGTGACGAAACTCCCTTCTTGCAAATAGATCACAGTTCACATTTTGTGCAAGAAGACGGCGATGAAGGCACCTAGTCACGTGCAGGATCCTGGTCAACTGGGAGTCAAAACCTGATGCCCACAAGCCACTCCTTGTTGCAGCATCTGCCTTAAAGACAGAGCTATTCTTTATCATCTCTCCAAGCCTGTCTCCTCTCGTAACAACCGCGGAGTCATGAAGGGCAAAACACCCGAGTTCACGTTGCATTTTCCGTTGCATCTGACTGGCTCCTCCGCTCAGCTCCAGCGGCCGCGGGGGGGATTGTGGATAAGGTATTAGAAAAATATTTCCCTTCATCCTCGCCCGGTGTGGGAGGATGAAGGAGCCAGAGGAAGGAGGGCTTACATGACGAAAGCACAGCAAGATGCACCAGGAAGCAACTGGTGGACAAGGCTGAAGACCAGGGGAAGTCTCAACCCATCAAAGGGAAGGATAAACCACCCTCATCACCAGCTGAGTCCCCCAGAGCTCGAGGAAGCCCTCCAGCATGAAAACACCCCTCACTTTTTCCCCTGTGAAGCTCTGCTGGATCCAGCCTCGCAAGGAACCAGCTGCCCCAGTACAGCCGAGCTCCTGGCTTACGGCAGCGCCCTCAGCACCGTCTGCTTTCAACCCATCGTTGGCCCCTTCCCATCGGATGCACCAGCTGGTTTAGCCCCTCTGCCAAAGCAAGGCTCCATTACTCACTGCCAGACACGCAGCCCAGGGCTATTCCTGCCCCGACAAGGAGGATCCAGGTCTTCATCGTCCCGTAGACGGCAGGCTGGGCGTTTCGGAGCGTCCCGGAGAGCAGGTTGGGAATGACGGTGCTCCCTGGCGCTCCCTGCTATATGTGGGGCCCCTGGGAGCGCGGAGGGGAGGGAGGAGCATGATGCCACTGAGGACTTCACAGGCAGGCTGTACCCAAACTTTGCCAAAACTCATTATGTGCACAGCTTAATTATAGGCTGCCCGGAGTGGGAGGAGGGCTGGTAAATCCAGTATCCCAGTATTGCTCTACTCCTCACGTGCATGGCCCCTGGGGGGTGATTGAGGAGCACGGGGAAAGCTTCTCAGTGGGGTCTTTGCCCACCCAGAGCCCAGCAAGTCCATTAGAGATGCGAGCTGGTGCTCAGTGCCACAGCTTGGTCCCTCGGTGTGCCACATGTTCCCGCGCAACTGGTGCTAACTGGGAGCAACTTTCTGCTCCCCAGTTAATTGGAGGTAGTGACCTCTCCTTCCTCAGCTGCTCCCTCTGGAGGCTGTGCCCCCCCTTACGGCACAGACCAGCCTCGGTTGAAGCCTCCAGGTCCTCCAGCAGCACGAAGAAACCCTGAGACATAACCACAAGCCAGGCTTCAGCATCAAGGCTGCTCAGGGAGTAGGTTTTGTGGATTGTCCCAGTGTGGTCTCACTCCTGAGGCAAGCCCAGAGCTGGTCCATCCCCACCCTGCGTGGGGCTGCCCTTCTCCAGGGAGCCTCCACGGCCCCAGGTAACGCCGAGGGGGAGCTCAGCCCATGCCTGGCGTGGTCACCAGGCTCTTCCCTGCCCACAGCAGGGCCAGCCCAGGCTCAATTCAGTGCATCCCAGTGGAAGATGTTCCCAGATGGTGGGTGTTTTGGCAGGAGAGACAGCTTTCCATGCTACCACAACCTGGGGGGGGACCCTGCTCCCACCGGTTCCCAGTCCTGGAGCGTGTCGTACATGCTGACGAGTACACGCAAAGGCATGGGAGTGATCAGACTGGAACAGGTCAGCGCCCATCCTGCCTCCAAGGGCATCTTCAAGCTGCCTCGGAGCCATGGCACAGCCTCTCAGTTTTCAAAGGGGCATCGCAATCGTCCCTGAGCCGATCTCCATCCACAACCCTCCGCTGCCCAGCTCAGCCGCTCACGGGGCTGCACTCAAAACCACACTGGGAAAATAACCCAGACCTAACTCACCATCCTTCTGGAGGTTGGTTTAAAAACTGCTATTTTCCCCTTCTGGTCTGGGGAGCGGTGCACCGAGGCGAGCAGGAAGGAACCTCCTCAACCCGTTTTGCTGCTGGAGGATGTTGGGGAAGTTCAGCTCTTCCACACATCTCCCTGTCTCTTCCCAGCCATGGTCCCTCAAGGGCTGGCATGGGCTGACCTCAACTCATCCATCAGGGAGCATGGTTGTATTGTCCGCATCACCCTTCCTTGTCTTTCCAGGAAAATAATAAAGAGACCAACAGCGCGTGTTGGTGCTGCACCTGAGGGTCCGTCACAGGCACCAGCTGGTTTCTGGCTTCTCCTCACACGGTGACGTGGTTTCTCAGGAAGCCTCATCACAAGCCTTGCCCAAAGCCCAAATGATTTATACCAGCCGCTTCTCCGCCTCCTCGCCGGTGCACTGTAACAGACCCGGGAACGGCCCAGTACTGGCTGGTCCCTTGTGGTCCGTGTCCCTCTGGTTTGGCCGGGTGTTTGCCTGGGAAGACTCCCCAGCCGCAGGCTCCTGGAGCTTCTGTAAACAGCCCCGGGCTCTCCTGGGCTGCCTGCCCCAGCGGCTGCCAGACGGCCACGCTCCCGACGCTTTCATCGCCAGAAGCAGCAGGTCCGGGGCAGGGTTTCCCCACCGAGGAGGGGATCGCTCCCTGTGCATCTCCACCTCGGCAGGTGATAACTCATCTCCAAACGCCACCTGAGCCAAGGGGAGGCAATTTCTAACCTCCACCAGCGGAGCGGGCAGCAACTGCCTGCAATTCATCCTGCCGACAGAGCAGCATTGCAACAGCCTTATTAGCTGGCGCAGGAGAGCGGCGTTTGGTGTAATAAGGACCAGGTTTGGCTTCTTTCTCACCCCTCAGTCATTTCCTACCCTCCACCCTGGGCTGGTGACCCTGCTGACCTGTCCTCCCTGAGAGCAGCCTTGGTTTTTCTGACAGCTTTGTGTCGCTCTGTGCTGAGGCTGCTCTTTGAGTCTATCAGCTGGCTCGTGCACAAGCCAACCTTTCCCCAACTCCAGGCTGTGCCTCAAGCCCTGCTGGGGGTGAGGAGCTCACATCAGAGGGGTTGGACGTTGGGTGGATGGCTGCAGGCATCATGCATCCGTCTTGCTCCTCTGAGATGCCCAGGAAGAGCAGAAGCCGCAGCGCCTGGAGATGAAGCGAGTCCCACAGCGCTCGATGAGGGAGCTGGATGCCCACCATGGAGAAGGATGGAGGTGGAGCCCACCTCTTCTTGCAGAAGGATGCTTTCCCAGCCTCACCGTGGAAGATGATGCCTTTTGCCTTGGGCTTAACTGGGAGCATCAGCTCCACCAGCAAAGGCGTGGGAACAGCGTGTTTGTCCCCGTTTTCTCAGCCACGCTTTCCAGAAGCTGGTGGCCGGGTGTAAGCACTCCCCACCTGCCGTCCTCGCACACCCCCATGGTCCAGCACGTCTTGTTGCCACCTCTACCTTCCAGCAGTGCTGGACCTGCAGGCACCAAAGCCCTCCGAGCTCCTGGGGACAACCTGCTTCTCCTCGCCCAGTCTCATGGTTTGCAGGTCCAGGGACAAGAGCAGGTAGGTGTGCGCTGGGCCACGATCCAGAGTCAGTCACTGGCGACAGAAGGACAGCATCACCGGCTGTCACCGAACCCCGTGACCCCATTCAGGGCGCTCGCCCATGATGGGTGTTGCAGGAGGGCGGTGAGTCAAGCGCCCCGGGGCTGGCTCCACGGCGCTCTTGCATTAGAGCCGAGGAGACAGGAATTTCCCACGCGCTGAGCCCGTGGCAGCCAGCCCCGACCCCGGCCCCGGGGATGCAGGAGGGGAAGCCGGGAGTCTGGGCAGCCGCGCTTGCTCCTGTGCCCAACAATGCCGTTAGCTCTCGCCCCTTGCATTACACCCTCGTCCAGACCCCGGCTTTACCCATGGTCTTGCTCGAGGAGGCAGGCATCCAGCCTCTTATTTTTCCACGGTCCAGTGTTTTCTACAAGCAGGGCTGCCCGACACCGAGCTTCATCCCCATCCCCTCCTGCCGTCCTCCTCTCCACATCCCCCTAGGCTCATTGCCCTTTTCCAGAATATTTTTCCAGGTTTTCCCTCACCCTTGGGACATCATGGGGCTTCTGCAGCTCCATGGGAATTGCTGGTGGGGCTGGACCTTCACGCTCGTGCTCCTAGGGGAAACACAGCTTGTGGAGGTTACCGGCTTGTGGGTTGTGGAGGTGCATGGACCGTGCTGAGCTCCCCAACGGGATGCTCTTCACAGCCTGCACCGGGAAAACCAGACAAGGGTTAACTTTTCCACTCAAGTGGAGATTTCTCCAGCCAAGCCAGCCGGCCGGACCAGCATCCCACCTGCAGCTGAGGAAGGGAAAGCCCCGAGACACATCCATCGACCCGGCCAGCCAACCTGCAGACTGAAGGTAATCTGCAGGCCCAGAAACATCTGGAAAATGTGCAACTCTGGTTTAACCCTTCCTTCCCCACACATGAGCTTTTTCGTTTCAGGGCTCCTTTGGTCCTTCAGGGCAAACATCCTGGGAAAGGTGACTGTGGGAGGTGTGGGCTGCCCGATTTGGGTCCAGATGCCAAGGAATTGCCATCGCCTCTCTGCTTTGCCCTGGCTTGCCTGGACACGCACGCTGCTGGGATCATGCATGGGGCTGGAGTTAGAAACCTGGGAGATGCCAGGTGTCAAAACCTGCTCCCCATCGAGCACAGCCACCCGCTCGCTGCCTTGCAGAGAACCAGAAAGCCAAGCTTTGCACTGGGGGGGACCCGGGGGTCCTGGGATGGATGTGGTGCTGCGAGCTGCAAGGAACCCGCATCCCATCTCGTAGCTGGCTGCATCGCTTGAAACGTTATTTAGGTGTGATGGGGACTTTTATTTTAAGCAACCCATTCATCTGCATGGCGAGATTGAAAAGAGCAATTAATGCAGCGGTGCTCTGGTCCCTTGTAGCCCAGCCGTACTTGGGGCAAGGCTGGGGGGGGCTTTGGCTTGCGGCTCCGTGCTGTGGCTCCATGGTGTCCCGGTTGGGGCACAGACCTGCCAGGGGCTGCGAGCCTCCCCCGCGCTGGTACCCTGCAAATGTGGGAGCTTTTAGGGGCTGCGATCTCCCCTGAACCCCGTAGCTTCATCCAGGCCTGCTCAGAGTGTTGGGAAGGTCATTGCTAAAACTGCTCCGTGCGCGTACAGAGATGCTCTGAGGGGAGGGATGGGGGTCCTCACCCCTGGGGTCTGTCAGCTCTGCCTCCTTCAAAGACATCTCCCCCAAACCCCTGCTCGTGGCCCAGCAGCAACTGGTCATGGGTTGGGAACGGCCAGAGCAGGTCACCATCTCCATCACGAGGCCACCACAGCTTCCTTCCATGACGGATGCTGTCCTGCCTCCGCGCCATGGCTGTACGTGGCTATTCCTGCCCCCATCTATGTGGGGGAAACCGAGGCACGGAGAAGGCTGTGATTAGCCCAAGGTTTGGCAGCATGGGCTGGTTTAAGCCCCAACAGTACTGGGGGGGATCAAGATACTTTCCCCATGGCTGCTGGGGTCGTGCAGGTCCCAGAGGCGGGGACAGGGGACGCAGCCAGCACCTCCCATGGGACACACAGGACAGAGGGAAGGGCAAGTCCCCTCTAGGGCTGCCCCCAGGATCCGTGGGGCAGCACAGCAGCACGAGCCAGACCCTGAGCTCAGCCTGGGTGTCTGCACGCCGATGGAGACAGACGTGGTGTTCCCTGCTCATAGGGATGCTCTGGCTTGAGTCCCTCCAGGAGGAAGGGGCATCTTCCAGCCCGGCACCTCCAGGGCGGGCAGCGTCGGGGGGCAGCCAGGGCTCCTTCCTTCCCCCCTGGCCAGTGCAGGGAGCGAATCCAGGCTGCTGCACGGAGAAGAAAGGCGAGTGCAGCCTTGCATACAAAAATACCTCTATTGCTCACTCCGCTGTCCGTGGCCCTCGCCTGCCCGCAGCCCACATGGGCTCCCAGCTGCCTCGTGGTGCCGGACCTGGCACCTGCAGCCGGTGGCACGGCTGAGCAGAGGCTGCTCTCGGCTGGCTCCAGCACAGCCTCGTGCCCGGTGCTACCGGGAGCAGAGCCACAGGGCTGCCCCCGCCGCCGGCAGACAGGCTGCCGCATCCCTGCTCCGGGCCCCCTCCGTCCCTCCATCCCTGTCAGGACTCCAGGTCGTGGGAGAGCCGCAGCAGCTCCTTCTGGCTGTCGATGGCTTTCAGGTGCTGCAGGTATGCCCAGGTGGAAACGGGACTCCGCACGCTCAGGGACTGCTCCGAGCCTGCCAGGGAGAACTGAGATCAGGGCTGGGCTCCTGCCTCTGGCTGGGCTCACCAATTCGCCCTCCGGCTCAGTTTGCCAACCCTCTCCCTCAGCGCTGGCTCATCTCATGGATCCCTCTTCACTGCCTCTCGCCTGACTCACTGATCCGCTTCCACTGCTGCTGGCTCGGCTCATTGATCCCCTCCATCACCGCTAGCTCAGCTCATCGAACCTCTCTATCACCTCTGGCTTGGCCCGTGGATCCCTCTCTATCACCTCTTGCTCAGCTCATTGAAATCCCCTCCGTCACCTCTCCCTCAGCTCACGGATCCCCCTCCATCGCCTCTCCCTCGGCTCACGGATCCCCTCCATCACCTCCAGGAACCCGCTGGAGCTGAAGGAGCAGGAGCAAGTGGGGACGGACTTGCTCCATGGGGCAAAGCGATGCACCAGCCTGCAGCTGGAGTGCTTCAGACATGCTGGAAGCACTCCGTGACCCTCTTCAGCACGAGGAGTTGCTGCTTGACTGGTGCCTCCAGCCAGCAGTGTGCGACCCATGGGTTTGCACCACTCAGGAGAGGGAGCTCAGCCTCCATCCCTGGGTACTCCGAGGCATCAACAGCATCCGGACCAGCTTTCACCCATTGTAGCCAGGCTGAGGCCCTCGGGACGTCCCCGCGGGATCCCCCCCACGAGGACGGTGGGTGCATGCTCCCCTGGGTTGGCCTCGTCCGGCCCCGCGTAGCCCCGAGGGGTGGGGGGGGTCTCCCAGCGCAGGGGTGGGGGGCAGATGGGTGAGCCCCAGACATACACGTGGAGATCCTGACGGCCTTGGGGTCCTCCGGCCGGTGCGGGGAGCGATTTCGCAGTGGGGAGAGCGGAGCTGGGTGCGGACAGAGACCAGGAGCTCAGCCCCATCCCCAAAGGAGCGCTGGTCCCTGGCCCCGTCCTCGCCCCCAGCCGGGAGCACTCACCATGCGCGTCGCCCCGGCAGCGCTGCAGGACACGCACGGTCTTTGCCATCATGTGCTGTGGGCAATGCACAAAGGTCACTTGCTGTCACCTGGCCCCACTTTGCTCCCAGGCTGGTAAAACACAGTCCCGGGGGGGGGGGGGGGGGGGTGGCCGGGTGGGGGGGGGGGGGGGGGCTGCGCTAATGCCACGGGGATGCTCTCGATCTGCATCCCAGGGGATGGGGGGGACAGCAGGTCCCTCAAGGTGGGGATCCATGGGGAGCCAACCCGCCCCACTCACCATCTTCTCAAAGTTGATGAGGTTCTCGGCCAGTGTGCGATTGCCCTCGTGGATGAACGTCATGTCTGGAGGGGGGGGGGAGGAATTCAGGGATCAGATTTGGCTTCCTGGACCCTGGGGAGGGCTGGATGTGTGCAAAGGGGTCCCTGCCAGCCCAGCCCAACCCATTCCCACCTGCACCCTCAGCAAAGGCCACGCAGCTCCCGAGCCGAGGTACCCACCTTTGAGGAGGAGGGGCACGAAGGGGATGATGGGGGGGCTCAGCTTGGCGACAGCCAGGCGATAGACCCTGTGGTTCCACGAAGGGTCCTGGGTGTGGAGTGAGACCTCAGCGCAGGGCAGGCAGGGGACGCAGCCCTGGCTGCTGCCTGCCACGGGTGCAGGGAAGAAAGGGGGGGGCCAGCGCTTCCACGGCACCCCTGTGACCTTGCACCTTTTGGGAAGCAGGGGCAAACCCTGCCAGGAAGGGGGATACGGGGCGGGAAGGGGCTGCGCTCACCAGCATCCGCTCCAGCGCCGAGTGCAGCTTCCGGATCTTGTGGGGCAGCCTCTGCGCAGAGAGAGGGTCACCGGCACCGGCACCCCGGCTCTCCCACCCCCAGAGACTCCCCAGTTCCCTCGGCACCTCCTGCTCTCCACCCACCCCATTGCACCTCTGTGGGGGGGTCTCTAACACCGCCTGCTTCAGGTGCTCGTGAGCAATAGGCTCGGAGCCCGTTGCCACTCCGGTACGGGGGATTTTGGCTCCCAGCTGGGTCTAACCAGACCCAGGGGCTCATCCTGGCCCCCTGCCCGGTGGGAAACATGCTCCCTGCCCTTAGCAGCTCCCTTGCTCAGAGCTTATGGGTGCAGGGTCTGCCTGGACCCCAGCACCCAGGCCACCCTTGCTCCTTGCCCAAGCCAGGGGCCCCAGATCCATCACTGCAAACCTCGGAGGACCTCGCAGGGCTGGCAGCAGCCCGAAGGCGGTTACCTCCCAGGTCTTGGCCAGGCGGCTGACGGCCGTGTTGCTCACACCGAACATCACCGCAAAGAAGGAATTCAGGTTCTTCTGCTCCTTGAGGCTGCAGGCGAGGACAGAGTCAGGCGAGGAGGCCGTCACCGGCTCCGTCCCCGCAGGACTGGGACGCAGGCGGCGAGGCACTCACTGTGCGGCCAGCTTGATGAACTTGCGGAGGAGCTGGGCTCGCCTGCCCACCTCGGGGCAGAGGCACAGCTCCGTGGCCACCCAGTACTGCAGCTCGTTGAAGCGCCGCATGACCCGTTCCAGGTTGGCCGTGGTCACGTCATGAAACTTCTGCGGCCCGACGATGTAGTGGATCATTTCCACCTGCAAAGCCCAGCGCGGTGGCTGAGGGGTATCCCGAAAGCCACCCCAGAGCCATCTCCTGCCCTGGTCCAGGTGCTGGCCTTACCTGGTGGATGCTCTTGAAGAGGTTCCAGTCGTAGTCGGTGAGGTGGCTGGCCAGGTCCTTGGAGCTGATGAGGTCCAGGGTCTCTGAGGAGCCGATGTGGGGGCCCAGCTGCTCAGGGTGGGGGGTCTGTGCATGGGAGAGAGGACGCCCGACCTCTCCTGCCATTAGCCGCCGTGGCAGGGAAGGCAACACCAGCCCCTTCCCCAGGATGGACGCCCCCAACCCTGAGCTGCTATGGAGGCACCACAGCCCCAAATCCCGCTTGGGGGGCCAGCCCGGTGCTGCCCATCCCCGAGACTCCCCCACCCTGCGCTCACCAGGCTGCCCAGCTCCTCCACGCTCACGGCGAAGAGCCTCTCGTTGAGCCCCAGTGCCGTGAACACCCCGACGGCCGGCGATGTAGTGGATCATTTCCACCTGCAAAGCCCAGCGCGGTGGCTGAGGGGTATCCCGAAAGCCACCCATCTCCCATCTCCTGCCCTGGTCCAGGTGCTGGCCTTACCTGGTGGTGAAGAGGTTAGAGGTTCCAGTCGTAGTCGGTGAGGTGGGTGGGC